ATATTTCTCACAATCCAAGCCTAGTTTTTCTTCCTGTCCTTTGACATTAAGAATAAAGCACCTCAAGTGTTATAATACTGCACAAAAAATCCGTATGTTATAGGATTCTTATATCTTCTAAGACATCTGGTATTGGTCATTTCTGGAGACAGAATAGTGGACTAAATAGATGACTGTGACATAGGACCAGACCAGTTTCTACATTATTTGCATTTTGGCATCATTTGGAATTTGTATTATTTAGTACAATATTTTTAGTGTTGTAAACAATGCTAAACAAATGAGTAGGATATATATTTGGTACTAAAATACCAGACAGTATTCATTTATAATTTCAGTATACTTTTGTTCTGAATTTTAAATGTTTTCTCTTGTGGTGATAGTGTCTTTGTCTGCTCTTCCCCAGATTGCCTTTTCAGTCAGTCTAAGTACATAACGCTTTGCTCATTTATTTACTTTCCTCTCCTTCCAAGCAAGCCTTAAAGTGTGGACTGTTGTGTAGGGCTGCACACCCAGCCAAAATAATTAATGAGTTCTGAAAGGTGAGAAAAAAGGGACAGTGATGCAGTTACTTCTGAGGCATTTTCAAATTGGGGCATGCAGAAGGGCACCATCAGCCAGTTTTCTCTGCTCTCTTTGCTCATGTTAGAGGGTGCAACCTCATTATTAAGGTAACTCAAGTGCATCTGCTGATTGCAGCGCTACTGACTGCAAATAAAGAGACCAAGAGAGTTCTTCAATTAATTAAGGCTTAAGCCATTTATGGCTAACCTCTACTGAAACCTACAAGTTAATAGACAAGCAGAGTAGATCATGACATACTAGTGTCAAGTGCTCTGTGCAATATGGACTGCTTAATATGAGGTATAAATTTGAATGTAGTAAATTTGATTGATAATGGGATGCCATTACTTAATGGACAACACTGTTATAGATTTGTAGCTACGATGCTACATACATATCTTTCTCATTTATAGGATGATAAAAGTGGGTAGGTATTTTTACACTGCTATAAAATTGCCATTTGGTACAATTAACACTGATTTAATGTGTAAAAGTACCCAAGTAAGTTATTTTAAGCAAAGTGGCCATAAGCTAGTGGAGAGAAAAATGGCCATAAGCTACTGGAGAGAAGGTTTAGACTGGACATTAGAAAAATGTTCTTCGCGGTCAGGGTAAGATGCTTCTTTAAGATAATATACAGCGAGCATTCAGATTTGAAACGTCTTATCTGTATGTACCCTAGGCTACAGTTTTTATTTTGTTTTGTTTCTGTCATTAAGCATTGTGCTAAAAGGGCTGGAAGGGCTCCAGGGATTACAAAGGTTGCCTTTCACCTCCAGGTCACTGATTCAAGGCTGGCCCACTGGTAGGCCAGCAGTGTTACCAACTAATGGCTATTCAGAGGTTCCTGGAAAAGAAGTTGATGGTTCCATTAGAGTTCACAGAACACAGATGTCCACATTGCACTAAGTAATTAGTACTGATTGGCCTCGCTGTTGGCAGTCTCAGCTGAGAGACCAAAGTTTAAATGAGTGCGGACATTTTGTTGAAAAGATGTTAGTGGGGATGAAAGACATCAGGGTTTCACCTTTGTTACCATTATGGATGAAATGCCTGGCATGATGATACATTTTTAGTTGAAAAATAACTTGAAATTGATATTGTTTGATTACCTTGATATCTTCCAAATTTGTGCTAAACCTCCAAATTTATATTATGACATTTTAAGGAAATTGTTTGACAAAGAAAGGAAATATACAACAATTTAATGCATTCTATTATATTCTGTGAAACATTTCCAAGCATTTCTCTTTTAATATTGCAGATGGAATTTTAAAAATGTTTTGTAGTTGCCCTGGAAAGATTTAGGCCCCATTTTATATATTTGTCTGTGAAATTTATTTGATTTTGGATGTTGAATTTTGCAGATGTTTAATCAACCTAGATTTCAACTTAAGTCAAACATTAAGCTTTCCAGGAAAAGAAATGTCAGCATTTCTGCATTTAGGATTCACTTAGCCTCCTGGGCTTGTTAAATTGAACAGAAAAGACAATGCGCTATCATAAATATAGCTGCTAAAAGTTATAGCTTATCTCAACAATTCTCATTTATTTGTCTTGGTTTCAGTTTGTATTTTGGGAGTGCAGATCACAGAGAAATATGCATTTGTCAAACTGAAAGCAGCAAATAAGAAACAGAGCAGTTTTTCAATACACAGGCATGCTCCCTGGAGTGATGCAGAGCTGCTTCTTGATCTGTACAGATCAAGGTGGAGCAGAACAGCTGGGATCTGTGCTATCTGCAGGCCCTGTTTCTCTATTACTAACTGCAGTTTGCTTCATTTGATGCAAATTAGGTGTGAGCTTCAAGCTCTTGGCCATTTGCCATTACAGCCCTGAAGTGAAAAACTTGGAAACCTCATGGCTCCATGTATTGTACTACTGGTGAGGGCCTCATTCCGGAGCTTTGTGAACTGAGTTTAGCCTACAGGGCTATAATAAGAAGTTGGAAGGAGGATAAGAAGACATCATTTGAAATTAGTGTCTGTACTGAAGTTGACATTCTCTCCAGTACAAGAATGGACCACACTGGGAATTTGCTGAAGAAATAGGTCATGGAAAGAATCTACATATCATTTAGAAAATAAAACTGATATTTAGAGAAAAATCAGTTTTCACTCCACACCACATTCTTTATGATCTCCCCTACTTCTCATTTGGACGTAAAAGCTGAAATTGGACCTTCAGCATCTGTTGCAATGTGCATCTGTATTACCACACTTTGGAAGAGGATGAGGCCAAACAAAGGCTTATATATTGTATTGGAGGGTTAGTTAATATGTGTTCAATATTTGGTTTTTTCCTAGTTAATAATGAGCAACAGTTACTGAGTCTTTTTTCCTCAAGCCCCACATCCCTATGATTAGATTTCCAGTATATGTGAAAGGCAACTAGAGCTTGAGCAAAAGCCATGTGCTAAATACATTATTGGTAAGCATGCAGGGAGGTTTGACATTAGCTTACCATTTTGTAATATTGTCTAATGCATAATTGCTGCATTTGATATTTCACACCGAGATTTTCCCCTGTTAGTCAGAAGGCCAAAAAGTACCTTTTGCAGATGAAGCCAAGCAATCAAAAGAGTAACTGGGTTCAGCATATAGACTGCTTGCCAATGTGGAAAAAAACCAAAACAACAAAATGCACTTTCCTTTTATTTGGTGTACTTCTGAGCCAAGCTCAGCGCATGCCCAGAAGAAGCAATGCATTACTCTGCAGGCGTTTATATAGACCAGGGACTTTAGTGGGACTTTTTAGTGCTTTTATCTAATAGCTGATTGAATCAGCTTTTAGATAATAGTGCCAAAAAGCCCCATTGAAACACCTAATCTATACAGTCTCTGCAGAGCTGGGTTGAACTAATGCGCTGCATCTTCTGATGTTTGTTATTTTTCATGTTTGCAAGAAGCCGTTATGTCAGCCAGAGCGTATGACATAGTTGGGACCAAGGAGCTGAAGTGGATAAAGAAACTGCAAAAAAAGGATAAGAATCTACAGGATGAAGAAATTGGCCCTTAAAATATATACAGTGGCAAAAGCTGGAGGAATTAGATCTTATTGCTTACTCACCTTACTTTTGATTTTATATTTTATCCTGCTTGATGTGCCCGTATTGTCAGTGTATATTCATTGTTTGTGGTTTGAAGTGTTTAATGGGTAGAAATGATCTCTCAGTATTTTGTGCCACCCAGCTAATGTACGCCCTGACCCATCACTGATGTGAGACTTATGAGTTGCTTATCCCAGGGGATTTTTTGTGTGTTTTGTTTCAAGGTGATGACACAATGACAGGAGATGGTGGAGAATACCTGAGGCCAGAAGACCTAAAAGAACTAGGTGATGATTCCTTACCCAGCAGCCAGTTCCTAGATGGTATGAACTACTTGAGATACAGCTTGGAGGGAGGCCGATCTGACAGGTATTCTACTTATGGGCTTCCATGATAATTTAGGAAGTATTGTTTTTTCCTTAAATAATTAAACTCAGAAAGAATCTGCTATTAGGATTGTAACCAAGACCATCATTTCAGAATAAGAATGATATACTGCCCTTTCTAGCTGGGGCAGGTGAAGGAGGAAGACTGATGCTTATATGATATGGTACCTAAATCATCTTGACTGACTTCTAGCTGGCATAGAACAGGACAGCTCAAGGCATGGTTCAATGAGATGCTTTAGTTCTGTAGTAGAACGCATTTTGTGTTGCCAACTGCAGAATACAAGGAAAAGAACAAAGGATTTGACCATTTCTCACTGGAGTTCTGTTAAATATCACAGAACAATAGAAAATTAGGGTTGGAAGGGACCTCATGAGGTCATCTAGTCCAACCCCCTACTCAAAGCAGGACCGTCTCCAACTAGGTTGTCCCAGCCAGAGCTTTGTCTAGCTGGGTCTTAAAAACCTCCAAAGATGGAGATTCCACCACCTCTCTGGGTAACCTGTTCCAGTGTTTTACTGCCCTCCTAGTAAGAATATTTCCTGATATCTAACCTAAACTTTCTTGCTGCAACTAGAGACCATTGCTCCTTGTTCTGTCATCTGCCACCACTGAGAACAGTCCAGCTCCATCCTCTTTCAGACCCCCCTTCACGTAGTTGAAGGCTGCTATTAAATCCCCCCGTCTGCTCTTCTCTAAACTAAATAAGCCCAGTTCCCTAAGTTTTTCCTCAGAAGTCATGTCCCCCAGGCCCCTCACCATTTTTGTTGCCCTCCACTGGACTCTGCAATTTGTCCACATCCTTTCTGTAGTGGCAGGGGGTGGAGGGGGCAAACTTAACACAGTACTCTAGATGTGGCCTCACCAGTGCTGAATAGAGGGGAAGAATCACTTCCCTTGACCTGCTGACAACACTCCTACTAATTCAGCACAGTATGCTGTTAGCCTTTGAAACAAGGGCACTTATTCAGCTTGGCTCATATTCAGCTTATGGTCCACTATAACCCCCAGGTCCTTTTCTGCACAGCCAGTCAGCCCCAGTCTATACTGGTGCATGGGATTATTTCTTCCTGAGTGCAGGACTGTGCACTTGTCCTTGTTGGACTTCATGAGATTTCTTTTGGCCCAGTCCTCCAATGCCTTATCCTCCAGCATACCTGCCCCCAGCTTGGTGTCATCTGCAAACTTGCTGAGAGTGCACTCTGTGCCATTTTCCCAGTTGTTGATGAAGATATTGAACAAAACTGGCCCTAGGACCAACCCCTGGGGCACTCCTTTTGATTCTAGCTGCCAACTACACATCAAGCCATTGATTACTATTCTCTGAGCCTGATGCTTCAGCCAGTTTTCTATCCACCTTACAGTCCATTCATCCAGCCCATATTTCCTTAGCTTGCCTGGAAAAATGTTGCGGGAGACCGTATCACAAACTTTGCTAAAATCAAGGTATATCACATCCGTTGGTCTCCACACATCCACAGAGCCAGTCACCTCACCATAGAAGGCAATCAGGTTGGCCAGGCATGACTTGCCCTTGATGAACCCATGCTGACTGTTCCTAATCAGCTTCTTCCCCTCCAAGTGCTTAGAAATAGATTCCTTGAGGATCTGCTCCATGATTTTTCCAGGGACTGAGGTGAGGCTGACTGGTCTATAGTTCCCTGGATCCTCCATTTTCTCTTTCTTAAATATGGGCACTGTTTGCACTTTTCCAATCATCTGGGACTTCTGATTGCCATGAGTTTTCAAAGATGATGGCCAATGGCTCTGCAATCTCACCAGCCAATTCCCTTAGCACCCTCAGGTGTATCCCATCCAGCTCCATGGATTTGCATATGTCCAACTTTTCTAAATAGTCCCTAACCTGTTCTTTCGCCACTGTTCGCTGCTCACCTTCTCCCCAAACTGTGCTGCCAGGTACAGCAGTCAGGGAGCTGACCTTGCCTGTGAAGACTGAGGCAAGAAAGGCATTGAGCACTTCAGCCTTTTCTGCATCCTCTATCACAAAATTGCCTCCCACATACAGTAAGGGATCCACACTTTCCATGTTCCTCCTCTTGCTACCAACATACTTGTAGAAGTCCTTCTTGTTACCCTTCATGTCCCTTGCTATCTGCAGCTCCATTTGTGCTTTGGCCTTCCTGACTTCATCTCTGCATGCCTGAGCAATGCTTTTGTATTCCTCCCTATTTATTTGCCCAAGTTTCCACTTCTTATAAGCTTGGTTTTTGTGACTTAGTTTACTGAAGAGTTTCCTGATAACCCAAGCTGGTCTTCTGCAACACTTGCTAGATTCCTGCACGTTGGGATGGTTTGTTCCTGCACTCTCAGTAAGACTTCTTTAAAGTACAGCCAGCTCTCCTGGACTCCTCTTGCCCTTAGTCTGGCTTCCCAGGGGATCCTGCCCATGAGTTCACTAAGTGAGTTGAAGTCTGCTTTTCTGAAGACTAGGGTCCTTACTCTGCTGCCCTCAATCCTTCCTTTCCTCAGGATCTTGAGCTCAATCATTTTGTGGTCACTGCTGCCCAAGTTGCCATCCACTAAAATGTTCCCCACCAATTCCTCCCTGTTTGTGAGCAGCAGGTCAAGAAGAGCATGGCCCCTAGTGGGCCTCTCCAGCACTTGCACCAGGAAATTGTCCCCAACTCTCCAAAAACTTCCTGGATTGACTGCACACT